TTTTTCTTAGTTTTTTTTTTTTTTTTTACAAGAGTAATGGTTAGGAAATTAGTAGAGTTAGTTGTTAATAATTGGGGTTTTCCAAAATGGTGAACAATCTATCCCTCAAAAGAGATGCATAACCATTAGATTATAAGTTGATAAAGTTTATAATGATGACAGAGTTCAAAATCCTGAACTCTGCCTCACCCCAAACCCTAAAGCTTGGACTTGTAGCCCGGTTGGCATTCTCTTAGTAATTATGAGGAATTCACCTTTTTTATTCACATCAACATCTATATTTATGTGAAATGGCGTCACATCAACATACAACTTTATGTGAAATAGTAAAATAGTGAAAATCAGAGAGCACAATCAATGCAATTAGATTCAACTGTATATTGAGCTAATTGTGGTAAAAGTTTATTTGTATCAGTTCGTAGAGAGAGTTTATTTGCTTTGTTTTTAATTTAGAGGTTTTAATGTTATTTTAGAGAAAGTTAAAGGGTTTAAGAAGGGTTTTTGTAAGAAAAACAAAAAACAAAAAAGGAGAAGTCAATGATCTGACTTCGTTGACTTGGCCCTATTCGTCGACCCCCACAAATTGGTTCTTGGGCCCACTATTCCCCAAATATCATCATTTCAAAATTTTCAATATTGGCACTTCGGCTGACTGGCTCCCACATTTGTCCTTTTGGCCATAATTGGCTCCCACATTGGGTGACAATTTCCCATTTATCTATGGTTGTTTTGCTTCCTCCACATCTTCTTTATTCTAGTTTTGGGCGGCGTCATTTTCTTTTTATCAAGTGTATTTTTTTTTTTTCCTGTTGTGATGAGGATCTTCTTGCTCTGCTGCTTAAACAAAGAAAATCTTTTTGTGGGGCTGATGCTTTTGGGAAATGTGTTGTGTTTTTTGCAGGGAAAATCTTGCTCATCCGTGAAGGATTCAGCTCTCTTTGGGGTTTCACTCTCAGACTATCTTAAAGCTGATTTCAGTTCTTCTGCATTAAGGTGCAAGGTATGTATGGTATTTTCCTTTTTTTGTTTTTCTTCTTGGATTATATGAGGTTAATTCATTCGATATGAGCAATTCTTGTTCAGGAGATCCAAATTCCATGAATATAGAATTCAGATATCTTTAAAATCCAGAAATAAGGCCTACCATTCTGCATATCTTGGCATTGTTTAAAGCACATCGCATCACCTTAACACAATGCAATAGCATGTTGAAGATGGGTTATTTTGCTGTTCTGGTTTTTTGGTTGCCAAATGTATATTTTTATAGGTGTAATTGAACTAGTTATGTTTTTCTTCACTGCAGAGAGATTTCAAACAAAGAAATGGAGCTGTGAGGGCCCAGACAGTGGCCACCGATGCTCCAGCAGTCAGCCAGTCTCCGGTAGATGAGAAGAAGACTCTGAGGAAGGGAAGCGTTGTGATCACCGGTGCCTCCTCTGGATTGGGTCTAGCCACTGCTAAGGCTCTGGCCGAATCTGAGAAATGGCACATTATCATGGCCTGCAGGGACTTTCTCAAGGCTGAGAGGGCTGCCAAATCCGCCGGCATTTCTAAAGAAAACTACACCATCATGCACTTAGACCTCGCCTCATTGGACAGTGTACGGCAATTTGTTGACAACTTCAGGCGTTCTGGCAGGCCTCTTGATGTTCTGGTCTGCAATGCAGCTGTTTACTTGCCAACGGCTAAAGAACCTACCTTCACTGCTGAAGGGTTTGAGCTTAGTACAGGGACAAACCATCTTGGCCATTTCCTGCTTTCCCGGTTATTGCTTGATGATATGAAGAAATCGGATTATCCTTCAAAGCGCCTCATCATTGTTGGATCTATAACAGGTGTTGAATCTGAAAATTCCTTCATAATCATCATATCAATGAACTAAGTACTAACTTATTGTTGCTTATGTAAAAATGAACTAGGAAACACAAATACCTTGGCTGGTAATGTGCCTCCCAAGGCCAACCTTGGGGACATGAGGGGACTTGCAGGCGGCTTGAATGGCCTGAACAGCTCTGCCATGGTTGATGGAGGAGAATTTGATGGCGCCAAAGCCTACAAAGACAGCAAAGTCTGCAACATGCTGACTATGCAACAGTTCCACCGAAGATATCACGAAGAAACTGGCATCACATTCGCTTCCCTCTACCCTGGTTGCATTGCCACCACAGGCTTGTTCAGGGAGCACATCCCATTGTTCAGGCTTCTCTTCCCTCCATTCCAGAAATACATCACCAAGGGCTTCGTATCTGAAGATGAAGCTGGTAAAAGACTTGCTCAGGTATAATCAAAGAGAAACCTAGACAATGGACTGATTTTTGTGTTACATACTTACATGAACTAAGAATTATGGCCAATGAATTAATATGATCCGTTGCTACTAATGTAGGTTGTGAGTGATCCAAGCTTGACAAAGTCCGGTGTTTACTGGAGCTGGAACAAGGACTCAGCTTCATTTGAAAACCAGTTGTCTCAGGAAGCTAGTGATTCAGAGAAAGCGCGCAAGGTATGGGAGCTCAGTGAGAAACTTGTTGGTCTGGCCTAATTGAGAGCCTTTAGACTACTTTCAATTAATTGTTGTAGCAGAAAGGCAATGTTGCTGCCAGTGAAGAACTGGTTTGATTTGTGAGTGTAGGTTTCGGATTTAGGTGTGCTGTTGTTAACAGTCTTCTCATGTAGATGTTGAGGACTCTGAATTACGGTTTAATAAAGTCAGCTCATCCTGTTGGAAGCTGCAAATGATTTGGCAATTTCAATATGAATGGACTTGGAAAAACAAAGTAGAGAATTTCATGCCTCAATTTTTGAGAACTCTAAACTCATTCATTCATCACACATACAGATAATGGATCAAAAGTTGAACATAAAATGGCAGGTTTAACAAGTCCAGGCCATTCAGCTTTGGAATAATAAATCTTGTTTCTTCTATAGATTCCAATGCTATTATTTCCTCTATTTGTTCACAGTGCTCAGCATGTATGGCTTCTAGGTTCTGGAGGTATCCAAGCAACAATCTAGGCAAGAATGAGTCCCTTTTTTTTTAGTGCAAGAAGTATCCTTTGCGTTGTTAAGCTTTTTGGTTTTTTTAACCGGACGGTTGTTTTAGCTTGAAGATTAATTACTCTCAGATCATCTTAAGAATATAAATTTCATATCAATTTGATATATTTAGAAAAAAAATAATAATTTTCTTTAATACTAACTACAAAATTAAAATCCTAAACTTAACTTGCAATGCCACAATTGTTGTTACTCGTTAAGCATTAGCATTTTGAGAGGAAACCACTTGTGTTCTTTTGTTTTTTATTGCTATAAATGAAATTTGAGAAAAATGAAAATTAAGATATCTTAGTGTTTAAAATACTAAGATTATCTAATAAATTGTTCAAATACTTTTAATAAATCTTTTTTAAATGTTGACTTATTAAGAGTATTTAAATATTTTTATTATCATTCTTAACATTTTAATTTTCATAACACCTTAATTTTCCATAATTATTAAGTCTTGCTTTTCTTTAAAAAAAAATTGGCAGGCCTTTTAGAAAAGGCCAAAGTCCTTATTTACACCCTCCATTTTTTTTTTTTTTACGGTTAACACCTTTTAAAATTTTTTCTCTCTATTCACACCTTTCATTTTTTAAAATCTGTGAAAAACCTAATATTTTAATGGACCATCACGACACCGTTAAAAAATGCATTACGTGACACCCAGAAATTGACGTGGCACATGCGGTGTTTCTTTATTCGTTAGATTCAGACGTGGATCTACTTTTTTATGATGTGGCTTCTTTTCTGCACACGTGGACGCCACATGTGCAGTGGGGCCCACTGCACGGTTTCCCACTTGTCCCCGCGTCCCCCCACCAAAAAGAAAAAAAAAATTTCCGAAACCCAGAGGGTTCGAGCTAGGTTCCTCCTGAGGAACCCATTAGGAACCCTCTGGGTTCCTTGTCGAACCCAAATCGAGTTCCTCACAAGGAACCCAACTCTGGGTTCGGCGAGGAACCCAGAGGGTTCGAGCTGGGTTCCTCGGGAGGAACCCATGAGGAACCCGACTCTGGGTTCCTCGTCGTGAGGAACCCAGATCGAGTTCCTCACAAGGAACCTAGCTCTGGGTTGAACCTAGCTCTGGATTCAACCTAGCTTTGGGTTTCGGAACCCAGAGCTCCTGTTCTAAATTTTTTTATTTTTTTTATTTTTTTATTTAAATAAGCCACGTCATAAAAAAAAACATCAACATTGCATTATTAACGGTACATAATGGCTACGTCGATTTTTTAGTGACACGTAGTACATTTTGTAACGACCATAACAATGCATTAAAATATTAGGTTTTTTTCAGGTTTTGAAAAGTTATGAGTGTAAATATGAAGGAAAAATTTTGAAAAGTGTTAACTCTGAAAAAGAAATAAATGGAGGGTGCAGGGGCTTTGGCCTTTAGAAAAAATTTACAGGCCTGAAAAGAAAGAAGCCAAATTTTAATCAACATGCCCAGGCCATTACAGGGATCGTGGCGGGCAACGCAGGAAACGGCTGAGTTTTAACTAGGGTTTTTGCTCTTCAAATTCAAAGACGAAAGCTTTTCCTCCATTGCAGCAGTGCAGCCCAACTCTCCCTAAGCTTTCCACTCCCATCGAGTAAAGCCAGTTTTTTTTTTTCCCTTCTCAATGTGCTATGGCTTGAATAACAATACCCATATGCTTTTCCTCGTAGTTGCTTTTTATTTCTATCTCAATTCTGTTTTTCATGGGTGTTGAAGCAATGGTTGTAATTTGATCTAGATAATCTTGTAAACGATGGGGAAGAAGCGAAAGCACAGTGAGACCCAGGTCGAAGCACCTGTAAAGAAGGATGAGAGTGCTCCAGAGCGGCCAAAGAGGACGCTCATGGGTTGGAAAGACAAGGGTGAAGTCAAGGAAAGTGATTCTCAAGGTTTTAGGAACAAAGAGAAGGTTATGATCACATGTTCTCGCCGAATCAATTACAGGTGGAATGGAAATGAATTTCCTTTTCTTTTTTTCTTTTTTTTCCTTTTTATGATTATCTCAAGTTCCCTTGAATTTTAGTGTAATGGGTATTCTTGTGATTCTTAGGTACCGGCATTTGATGCTGAATATGGTGTCTCTTTTGCCTCATTGTAAGAAGGATAACAAAGTTGAGTCCAGAAGTAGCAATGGTGCCACTCTCAATGAGCTCATTGAGCTGAGGAGCTGCTCTTCCTGCCTGTTTTTTGAGGTAAGCTTATAAGCTCAGATTTTTATTTTTATTTATTTATTTATTTTGTTTCTTTCTTCTCACTTTGGTGACTTGGGTATGCTATGAACTCATAATATAGTTGTTTAAGCTGCATGGAGGTAGAGTTTAGTGCCGCTGTTCTCTCTTTTATATATATATATACACATTTTATTAGAGACAGGTTTTCCCATAATTTAGAGTGAACTTTCCTTTGTTACGAATTCATGGTTGTTATTTGCTTACTATTTTTGAATTATGCACTCATTCTCTAAAATATGATGATTTGAGGCATGGTACACTGATGGGTGAATATTTGGTACATGTTTCAACTTCAAGTTCATGGAAGGGTGGTCTTTGGAGTCTGTTCGAGATATTTTAATTTGCTTTCCTCAAGAATCTTACCTTTAAGGGGTTCTTTTTTTTTCTTTTTCTGTTTTCAATTTATATGACTTTTATGTCTATCAGTGCAGGAAACATCAGGATCTTTATCTATGGATGGCCAGGTGTCCCGGTGGTCCATCTGTGAAATTTTTAGTTAACGCTGGTAAATTTTTTTATCATTTGAATTCTTGAATGTGTTGGGATTTTTTTTTTATCAAAGAAAATGGAGAGGAGACCGAGAGGAAGATGGTGAAGAGCAGAACACATAAAATGGAGAGAAGTATATGACTTCAACTCATTTTTTCTCATTTCTTTTACTCCTATTTATAGGAGAATACAAACTCAATTTAAAATTCAAAAATCAAACAACTATTTTACATTAAAAAACAACAATAAAATACATTTGAATTTTGAAATATGTGACAGCCATTTTTGAAATATGTAACAGCCATTTCTGTCACATTGCTGCATCCTTTGGCAGCTCTGCAGCATGCTTGGTCCTCTGGCAGCTCTGCAGCATGCTTGGTCCCTTGGCAGCTCTGCAGCATGCTTGGTCCCTTCATTTGCATTTGCATTTGCATTTCATTTGCTGCTCATTTGCAGCTTCATTTCATCAACATTTGCAGCTTAGCTTGCTGCACATTTTTGCTGTCATTTGACAGCTTCATTTTCACCATATTTGCAGCTAAATTGCTACACTTTGCTGCTACGGTCCTATTGGTGCTGCTCTATCTTCTTCATTTTGCTGCCATTTTGTGCAGCCTTTCATTTTCATTTGCTGCTACCTATGCAGCTTTGATTTTCATTTGCTGATACTTTTGCAGCTTCCATTTTCATTTCCTGCTACTTTTGCAGCCTGAACACCACAGCTCCAACAGAATGTTAATACGACGCACATTTTTCATTTTTGGTATATTAATGTGGATGTTACATTGAACTATATATTTTTTTATTTTCAGTGCACACAATGGAAGAACTGAAGCTCACTGGAAATCATTTAAAAGGTTCACGACCTATCTTGACTTTCTCAGCCAATTTTGAAAAGGATGCTCACTGGAAGCTTATGAAGGAGGTGATCACACAGGTAGCCTAATGTTGCTTTCCTTCTTTAAATATAATATGCTTGTTGTCACTCTGTCTTTATCAAATGGGGGTGATATATATCAGTGTATTACTTTGTGAAATCAACTAATTGACTCTGTTTATATGTTGAACAAGAAAATACTTCTGTTGAAAATTTCATTTTTTTCTTCTGTCAGATATTTGGAACTCCAAAGGAGTACAGGAAATCTAAGCCTTACTACGATCATGTCTTCGTTTTCTCCATTGTTGATGACCATATATGGTTCCGCAATTACCAGGTTAGTGATAGTTCAAGGTGATTTTGTTTTGGAATTCAGGCTGAGTGTTACATATGGATTTATTTTATTGAAAAGCATTTTAAAAAAATGTGCAAGAATTTCATTTACATCACTATACCATACAAATTCCTGAGAGGCCAACAGAGGCTGATTCTGATTTTTAAAAGTGAGGTGAATGGAGTTCATAAGCATAAAGGAACAAGAATTCTCCTTTTCTTTTCCCCCCAAATGGGGAAGATATAACTCAATACTAGTATGATTTTCATATGCAGATAACTGTCCCTCATAATGAATCAGATAAAGTGGCTCGAGGAGGCCTGGATAAAATGACCCTTGTTGAGGTATCCCATCATATGTGCCTAGTATTTATCAAATGCCATGTCTAGTACTTGCCATTGTGTTTTAATTCATGAAACTGATCCATACAGGTTGGTCCAAGGTTTTGTTTGAATCCAATCAAGATCTTTGGTGGAAGCTTTGGTGGTCCTACGCTCTATGAAAATCCTTTCTACATTTCACCAAACCAGGTTAGAGTCTTGAATTTCTCCTAATTCATCAAATGATCATGATGAGTATTCCACCTTGGGTGGAATGTTGAAGGTCTCACATAAGGAATGCTTTTCTTCTACTCAGTATTCACCATTAACCTTTAGCTTTGTATGATTCTAAAGCTTCCTTTACCAACACTGGCAGATTCGAGCACTGGAGAAAAGACAGAAGGCTGGGAAGTATGCTAAGAAAGTGAAGGCCAAGACAAGGAGGAAAATGCACGAGCTATCTAATCCATTGGAACCTGATGAGTTTGCAGATATGTGGAAGGACTGACATTCACCGAGTCACACCACCTATAATCATGATTTTTTATGCTACTGAAACTGCAAATTTTGATTAATCCCTCATTTCGTTTTTCAACTTCCATCTTTGTCCTAGGAGAATTACCCCTTCATCTGGAATTTTGCATCATATACCTTGTCAAAGATGTGCTTAAGAAGCAAGAAACTTTTCTGTAATCTGAAGTAATATTTTTCATAAATGAGATGATCAAGCGGTTTCAGCAAACAGCCAAAGGGGCCATTCCATTATTTTTTTTCTTTGTTCGTGCGCTGAAAAGTGCCATTGTTTCTAAACTTTTCTATGAAAATTATTAAGTTACAGTTGAAAATGGAAAAATCAGTGGCTCTTAAGAGACAATATTAAGGTATCCACCATCGAAGCTGAATTCCCAAAAAATTATAAAAAAAAAAAAAACAAAACTCAATTGCTCGACATGTCATGGTTTATGCCTGTGAAATACATTCAGAAACTCAAAGTTGCTATGATGGAGCAGAGAACGTCAACCAAATGCCAGACTTTGCACGATCATAGTCATTTTTCTTCAGTATGTGGCAATAGTTAAGCTGACAAAAGAAATTAATAACAATTAAATCAATGTAAGTGAAAAAATTACCAAAGACGAGCTCTCAAAATAAACAGAAAACAAAGAGAAGGAAAGCAACTAACCTCCATACGAAATAGACTTGTAGGGATGACAAGCCCAACTCCTACAGAACCTCGGATTGACTCCATGAACTTCCGCATGGAGAAATTTCGGTACTCATTTTCTGTTAACTTAGCAACATTCCCAGCATTGGCAAAGACATGGGCATGGATTCCCTTCTCTCTAAGCCAACTGAATGGAAGATCAAAGGAAAGGTCTGCCAAAGCACTAACAGCAAGGTCTCCTCCAAGATAATCCCTCTCAGGAGGATCAGCATTCTCATCATTAATCTGCCTTCTTGGCTCAGTCAGCCCCAATCCCCTTGTCTTAAATCCCCATAATGTTGTTGGTCCTCCTAAAGTGCAAAGTGGTGATGTATTTCCACCTAAAAAGAACCTCTCTGGTATGGATGAAGGCCTACTCAAGAACCCATCTCCCCATGGAAGGATAACACCAGCAGAAACCCCTAAATTAAGTGCAGCGCGATAAAATCCAAGAGGAATAGCATATCGTAGATCAAATTCCTGCAGTTAAAATCAAATGAGAATGATTAATACCTCTATCAAGGTTTATTAAAACAATCATTTAGTTAAAAACAAAAATGTCAGTATCAAAGTTTCCATTCAAATCAGAATCAATAATGGCCATGAAAACATGTAGATAATACAAAAGCATTATAAATAACCAAAAAATAAGATTAAACAGACACCATGAAAGAAACAAAAAGCTTCAAAATAAGCCCAGGACCAATAATGTTAGCTTAGAAAGGTGCAGAAAGGATTTTTCACCGCCAGTGAGGATTAAACAGGAGTTATAAGAGTCCAGAAACTATTAAATAGATTAGAAAAAAAGGTATAAACAACCATTTTCTTGAATCTTCTAAAATGAAGAAACAAATAGAACATTCATGGGAAAGCAAGGACTTTATAGACCAAAAAAATTCTGACAAGAAGGAAACAGAAATAACTTCTATTTTCTTCTCTTCAACTATCATAGGGATCTATTACAATAAAGAAGAAAAGCCAAGAGACTCTCAGAACTTTATAAAGCAATGCAACAAAAGCAGTTAATTATGTACAAGTACCAAACCTGGCGAAGAAATCGTAAGCTCCGACTATCAGGTGAAAAACCACCAATTTGAGTAGTAGAAACAAAAGAATATCCTCGAGTTGGCCTCAAAGATGAATTTCTCCTGTCAATCTTAAATGTATACTTCAAAGATGAAAGTAAATTGTGTCCAAGCTGCCTCCTTATTGTCTTAGATGACAACTGTGATGGATCCGTCAAGTTACGCCATGCAAGATTATATGTCAAGTCATGATGACTACTAGAAAATAACCCAAGTGAGAGTCCCAATGACCGCTCCTTGTATGAAGAAAACTTCAGCCAATCTTGAGACAGCAAGTATGCTCGTGCTGTCAAAGGAGTAACCAGTCCTTTGAACCTGGGCAAGGACACACCAGCACTTACCTCTGCTGAGTGATCACAGCCATATTTCAATGAACCATCCCAGATATCCCCATAGCCGAACAAATTTTTGTACTTGAGTGATCCTTCCACTGTATAAGATCTAGCCTACAACATTACACAAGAAAATTGTATTGTAAATAGGAAAGCAAATTAACCACAACCATCCTCAAAACACAAGTTTTTCTGAATTTCAAGATCTAAACTATGATTTGCAGATGCACGATTACAACCATAACACAAGGCCACATTTCAATCTTTCTACAATCATGATTGACACCTATGCAAACTGCAATACAACAGCAAAACAAAACATGTCTGCTTTCATTCTTTACATCACTCAGTTGATAGACCACAAGAACTTCCATTTTACTCCTAACTTTTTCCAAGCTTTTCTGTGTAACTATTGGTACATGGAGGAGCTTTTCAATTTCCACCAATTTCTCAGAAACCAAACACATTATAGCCAACAATATGAAACACAAAACTCTGGCATCACCAGCATTCAATCAAACACTAACAAAAAATTATAACTAAAACCCTTTTGTCCTCTGCCAACAAAATTTCAAAATTTTAATAAATTAAAAAAATGAAAAAAGAAATTCCTAATTTCTTAACATTGACCTCATAACCATCAAACATTATACAGAAACTCACAGAGATAGTAAATACCTCTGCTTTAGTATAAGCTCCAATCTCACCCGAGAGAGGGTTTGCAGTCTCAACAACCTCGATGATCACGTTGGTGGTGTCAGGTAGCTCCGGCGGCCCAGAGTCGAGCCTGATGGCCACAGAATCAAAAACTTCAAGCGCCTGCAACCTCATATTCACTGCAGAGGAAACTCGCAACAAGTCCTGAATCGTACTCGCATTCTTCAAGGCCTCCACTTCGGCTTCGATGATGTAGTCCTTGGTCTTGTTGTTCCCCTTGATGATGACGTCGTGGACCCGTAGCGAAACGGCGCCGCTCTGCATCCGCCGGACCAAAGACGCCATTTTGACCTTCTCCTCGCGGGCTCGTTCCTCGGCAGTCCGGCTCTTGGGCCGTTCCGGTTCGATAAAAGCGTCATCGTCTTCAATTTCTTCCTCGTCGAGATCGTCGAGGTCGTCGAGGTCGTCTTCTTCATCGAGATCAGTGGCATTGACGGGCTGTTGGGGTTTCGGGTCGGGTTTGGATTCCGGGTACGACATTCTGAGGAGTCGAAGAAAGCGGCGGAGTGGAGAAGAGGAGGCGCTCGTGGGAGATATTGGAAGCGAAGGTCCACTAAGAAGCGCTGCTGCCGCTAAGTACCATCCTATTCTTGGGGAACAAAAGGGTTTTTTTTCCTAATGCTTATTGTGTTCTGTTATTTTTTTTAACTAATGATTAATCCAAGGTTCCGAATTACCTTGAATGGTGAGATTAAATTTTTTTTATTAAATGAATTTTTTTAACCTCGATTTTTATGCACATTTTAATTATATTTTTTTTATAATAAATTTGTATAAAAAATATTAAAATAAATATCAATTTTAGAGTTAATAACATGTATATAAATTTAATTAAATAATTAAAAAATTAAATTTTATTTTTATTTTTTAAGATTCTTTTTTTTTATGTTGGTTACACAACGAAAAGTAATTTTTTCTTATTTTTTATCTCATTTCATCCACATGTCATATGACTCGAATTTAAAATTTTTTATTTTTAGTAAAAAAATTTATTATTAAACTATTTAAATGATTCGTTGTTTTTCAAGATCTTTAATTTATATTTATAAAGTATAACTTTAAAAAATTCTTATTAAATATAAGTCTCTTATTTGTAAATGAAAAACTTTATAAAGAATTATTTTTTTATTAATTTTTTGAATTTTGATTAGTAAAATAAAAAATTAATATTTTATAAATTTCACCGCAACTCCTTGTGGGGAATTATTTTTCTTTTAATTATGTCTTAATGTTTTATTACTTGTGACACTTTTTTATAGCACCAACTTTAGAAGGATTTTTTGCTAGTATATAATGAAATTTTATTCAAATTATTATTTAAATTCTTGAAATAAATTGGACAACTAAGGACAATATTTAAAAGTAAAAAGGTTAATGTGATCACAAATTTCAAGGTTCCTTCTCTAAGAATTAGCTAACATCACAAATTGCAACAAAGAGCATGACTTTGTTTCTGTTATTTCTTAGAAAATTACAAAGAAAGATTGGCAACTATCCAACAGTATTTACATGAAGGTAGAGGAGCAAACTCATTGCAAAACAAGAAAGAAAGACAGAAGCAACATTTTTGAGCAATGGAGAGGCAGGACAAAGAAATATTTTTGAGTTTACTGTGTGTCCCAATGGCTCCAATCGACCTCACTTCCCACCCGGGGAATGCTGTCGACCCTTGAATACAGGTCAACCTTGAAGTTGGCTCCGCACATCACACCTTCACTATCTATCCTTGGCATTGCCCTGATCTTGTTCATTGGATGCTCAAAGCTCATCATTCCTCTCTCACTGTGGAACATGAACCCTGCAATGTCAACACACCAGCATGTTTGTGAGAGTAGGAAATATCATACACTTTGTGAAGTAGGAAAAAAAGAAGCAGAGTTCAGGTGTGTACCTGCGGGAAATGGGGCAAATGATTTGGCACAGCTCTCTTTTATGAGATCCAAGTCATCTGATATAACCACAGAACCATCGGCTGCAATACCCCAGTAAAGCTTTACTCCTCCATTTGAACCCTGCACCGATGGTACTTGTCAATGGAGCTATAAGCTTAATTTGCTGACAATAGCTTAACCGAATTGGTACTTATAAGCTTAAAAACCTTAATTCTAGGATCAAGGTCCCAAGGAAGAAAAATGAAGCTATAATCTTACAAGCAGACTCAAAACAAAGAAGGCTCGATAGAGGGAAATTGTGAATGGAAGTACATATACCAGGGCGGCAAAAACGGTTCCAGCCTTGCTATCATAGATAACAAAGGCAAAGCTTCCTTCAAGATCCTTGATGACTTGATCAGCAGGGTAGGGACCTCGGTCACGGAGGGTCCGGTAAACTTCAATGATAAGCATAGCATCATTTGTGCTCTTAGACAGACCATATTGCCTGTTGAGAGTGCAGAGGTTGTTCAAGGTCCCCAGGAAGAGGCAGTATACATCATCAAACCCACAAAACAACCTGCAAATTCATCACCCAACAAGAAAACCATTCAAAGTAATGTTCGTCCTATATGCGTACATATTGATTTCCACCATCAAATATTGATGCAGAAGCATACAAGTAAACATGGAGATACCTTTGATGAGTTGAGTAAGGCCCGTCCGGTGGAACATAAGCCAGCACTGCAGCATGACCAAAGTTCATGGAAAAGGTCTTAAGAGGGTGACGAGAAAGGAACTCATTGAGGGTCTCTTCTGGAGATTTAGGCTTCTTAGTACTAAGGTGGGATGATGGACTATTGAGCTCCTCAGGTGGGTTAGCAAATGCCTTATGAAAAATAGCCAACATTTTCTTCTCTTCTCACTTCACTACACACACACACACAAATCTAATAAAAATCTTGGACAACAGAAAATAAGATGAGGTGGAGAGACTGCAATGAAACGTGCAAAGATACTTATATGCTCTGCAAAAGTGAAGTCAGGGTGGTTTTTTCTGATCTTGGGGCTCTTGACCTATGGGACGCAGACAATGGAGTGGTTAAGGCGATGGCAGTACTCTTATTACTGTGGGCGTGGATCCTAGTGAGATAGGGATAGGGATTTCTCGTGGTTCAATGTATTCTTATCCTCCTCTGTTCTTTTTGTTTGTTTCCCGTTCAAAGAAATGATGTGCTCATGTTTTTGTAAAAATAATAATGCTACAGTTATAATAGTGAATAAGATTATAAATTTATAATTATAATATATTATTAAGTAAATATATTTTATTTAAAAAATTTTATATTTAATTTAAAATTAATTAATAATATAAAAAATAATTCTTTTTATAATTAAGTTACACACCTTTTTATTTTTTTTAATGTAGGATTTTTTCATTTATATCATGGTTGGTAACTTATAGCTTTTTCATTTTGTCTCGGTTTTTGTTTTTTCTTCTCCCGAGAAAAAAATCATAAATTTGGTTAAATTTTTAATGGAAATACCTATTTTACTCTCTAAACTATAAAATAAAAATTATTTAGTAAGATCAAACCTCTAACATTAAATGACCAATCTTTATTAATGGTTTAAATTTATAGTGTAATATGATCTAAATTATAAAATATTTTTTATTAATATGCTTTAAGTAACTTTTTTTTATCTTAAGTTACATAATAAAAAATAATTTTTTTTTCATCTCTTAATTCAATCATCCACATCAACGATCTAAATAGTTTTATGGTCATTTATTTTCATCGAAAATAAAAAATTTTGAATTCAAGTTGTATAACATGTAAATGAAATGAAATAAGAGATAAGAAGTAATTGTTTTTTATTGTATAATTAAGAGAAAAAAAATTTAATCATTCACATATCATATAATTTAAATTTAAAATTTTTTATTTTTAATAAAAAATTATTGTTAAATGATTTAAGTAGTTTATCTTTTAAGTGACTTAATAATTTTTTTTTTTTTTTGACAATTTAGATATTGTTTGTCAAGTGGCACTTATCAACAAGAAGATAGCCCATGTATTTAATTTAGCCCGTGGTTTGAATTGATTGATGGTGGGCTGCATTTCTCTCGTTTATATATTTCCTGCAAAAGAAAAGTCTTGAGTTATCTTTTATCTACGTGTTCACAGAAAACCCAGAAAAATGAATGGTGAAATTCGGGACCACCTTATGGTTGTAGTCACGATGCAAGTTGTCCACTTATCACAATTCCAAAAGCCAACAAGCACATCAACTGTAGCTGTCATGGTGGGTCTGCACCAATCTATGGCCGGTTCAATGGACGTTTCCTTTTCCCAATATTTAAAAAATTCTCAAGAGCCAAGTAAAGAATGTAAATTTTATCAATTTTAGAATAATTGATGAATTTTTAATTTTTTTATTAAAAAATTAATTTTTTAATAAATTACAATCACACCTATCATATTAAAAAAAAATGAAGGAGTATCACCTGGGAGTATGTTCCCACTAAAACTAAGCGAAAATTCACTTGGCCCATGCGTGTGGAACACTTAAAAAATAATTAAATAACGATATTGATGGGATAAATTATTTTGTAATTGTTTAATTAATTATTAAATAAAAATATATAAAATTAATATTTTTAAATAAAAATAATTAAAATTTTATTATTATATTTAAAAATTAACAAGATTTATGCCTTTAAATAAAAAAAATAATAAAATTTACATTATTATTTGAATTTTTTCTCCAATTAAAAAGTTTTAATTGACACCTGTTCTCAAAATTTTGTAGTATAAGTACTAATTTAGTAGACAACAAATCGGTTAAGGGCAACATTGTTCGTACTCTTGACTCATGTTATGTACTAACTACAATTTATTAGATTTCTCTTTTTTTTATTAAGAGAAAAGATATTTCAATTCCATCCTTACAATCAAATTAACAGGGTGCTTGCCTCCCATCCTTGACGCACTTCAATTCCCCTCTCTTAATTATAACAAAAAGGAGGAATTTTGAATTTGAAACCTCCTCCTCGAATTGAACCAAAGAAAAAACCTTATTATTTTGAGTTATATGGTGGCAACAATTTTAATGGTTTTATCAAGGACCTTTTAAGGAGTAGAGTATTTTTTCATGAGTTTTTCTAATATGTATCTTAAGAGTACAAATTAAAAAATATATATATATATATATATATATCTTTTTGTCAAAAGAATAAGGTTAAATCCCAAATTCAATCCCTAAACTTTCATTTTTGAACAAATTTACCCTCAAACTTCAAAAAGTACTAAAAAAATTCCTAAACTTCAACTTTTGAGACTAATTTTATCCTTCTGTCGATGAAAGTGCCAGACATCACATTAAATTGCCACAAAAATCAATTTTTGTTTTAAATCTTTAATTACGTGAAAAATAACTTAACCCAATGTGCCATTTTTGTTCTCCACATTATTTTAATTAATTTATATATTAAAAAATTTTAAATTCCTTAAATACCCCCATCTTCATCTTCCAACCCGTCTTTTTCTCCTTTCTCGTCTCTCTCTATCCTCTGATGCCTCTTCATCTTGCAACCCACTCAACACTGATCATCCCTCATTGCTCCAATCATCCCTTACCACTCCAATCAATACATGATCACCAAAAGGAAAATGGAACCCGAATCACCAAACCTCTCCTTCTTCCCCAAACCTCCTCTCTAATGAAACCCAAATTTGGTTCCTAGCACAATAATAATGGCCAATAAATCTGATTTAAAAAATCAATTACATTGCAAACTTATATTAGATCTGTAAATATTCAAAAAAATCAATCATACTGCAAACTTATACCAAATCTGTAAAAGAAAGGAAAATACAAAAAACATAGCATCCTTTCAATCAACACCAACAATAGCTAGATCTTGAAATCCCATACCAAGATAGCTAAGCATGACTGCAGCTAACAAAGAAACAAAAGAACAAATAAATAGAAGAAAAAAAGAAGAAGAAGAAAATGAGAAGGAGAAAAGAACTTGCGCCTGGGTTCCATTGAACCCAGGCGTGCTGGGTTCTATCGAACCCAAGCATGTTGGGTTGAACCCAGGCGTGCTGGGTTGAACCCAGGCGTTGGGTTCGAAGGAACCCAGGCGTGCTGGATTGAACCCAGTGTTGGGTTCCAAATGGAACCTAGGCGTGCTGGCTTCCATTGAACCCAGCATTGGTTCCTTCAAACCTAGTAGGTAGGGGGAGG